ATTTGTTATATAAAGAACTGCATTGCCCTAGAATGAAAATGGACAAAAATATATGTGTAGATAAGTCAAATAAAATAAATAAGCATAGTCTGCCCTTTAAACATTTGATATGCCTAACCTCGTTCAAAACAAGAGAAACACAGATTAAAACTATAGTGGCATGCTCTTTCATCTGTTAGAAAGGCAAACTCCAAAAGTATGATTGCACTATTATGGATGCTGGGGCTCTGGGGAAATAAGCATATACCGTGTGTGTGTGTGTGTGTGTGTGTGTGTGTGTGTGTGTGTGTGTGTGTGTGAGGCTGAGCACTGAAATCACAGCCTTTGCATTGAGCTGCATCCCCAGGCCTTTTAAATTTTTTATTTTTACAGTGTTAAATTTTTTTCTTTTTTATCTTTTTGAGACAGGGTCTCACTATGCGGTTCAGGCTGGCCTTGAGCAAACATTATAGTCCAGGCTGGTCTTGAACTCACAGTGATCCTCCTGCCTCAGCCTCCTGAGTGCTGGGATTACAGGCATGTGCCACCGTGCCTGGCTTTTACTTTTTGAGACAAGATCTTATTAAGTCACCAAGTCTCCCAGAGTGCTGGGGTTACGGGGGTGCACTACCATGTGCAGCCCGCATTTGCCTACCTTGTTGGAAATTAGAATAGTAACAACTTCTATGGAAGGCAATTTAGCAATATCAAAATTATAAATGCATATATCCTTTGACCTAATAATTTCACATCTAGGAATTTATTTTACATATATGCTTGTACACATGTGAAATTACATGTATAACAGGCATTTACTGCAGCAGTATTTATAAAAGCAGATAATGAAGAAACAACATAAATGTTAATCACTAAAGAAACCAATTAAATAATTATAAGTTATACTATATGTATAGTGGGACACTATACAGCTAAGAGAATGAAAACTTAAATGGTTTTTATTTGTGTATTTACAAGTAATTCACATATATTCATAAGTAATTCCGGAGGGATACATAAGCAACTAAGTTACATATGGGATGGATAGAAACTACACAGATGGGAGAACAGGATGGGAGCACTGTGTGTGCGTCAGGATATGGTTTTGCCTAGGCTTGACCTCAAAGTTATCCTCTTGTTCAGCCTCCTGAGTAGTTAGGAATACAGGAATACACCACTACATCAAGCATGGATGAGAAAATTTTTACTAAGATGTTTGAATTGTAAATAAATAATTTCCTAAAAATCTAAACTTTTTTCAGGGAAGACTTTCTTAAAATATTTTGTAGAATATCATATTTCTGTTAGGTGCTAGGAAAGTAGCTGTGTCATAAAAGACATCTACCTGCTCTTGAAAAGAATATATAGTTAACCTGTTGGAACACAGCAGTTATATTAGACCCATAGGAAAATTATTAAGAATGTTGTAGCCATGAAATAGATTAAAAACATACTTGTGAGGCTGGGGATATAGCTCAGTGGCTCAGTGCCTGCCTGGCAAGCACAAGGTACTAAGTTTGATTCTTGGTACAAAAAACAAAACAAAACTTGCTGAGGAAATGTGAAGGAAAGAAGAAATCCTGAGGAGGTTACTGGAAAAGGTAAGGCAGAGATGCTATCATGAAGAAGCTGAGGACATGGTTTGCTGAAAGGTGGGAAAAAGACAGCATTGCTGATCACATGGAAGTGGGCCTCCGTAACAGAAAGTGGATTACAGATTATGATTGGCAAGAATTCCTGGCTGGAATGGAAATGACGACGTACCAACGCTATCTTCAAAAACCATTGTGGATCCTGGAATGGGAATGACTATCACAGCTTCATTCAGAAGCCGTTGTGGGTTCTGGAATGTTCCTAATAAAAGGAAGAAGTAGGAACTCTACTTTCACGCCTCACACTCTGATAGCATTATTTTAAATATGTAGTATGATACTTACTTTTTTTTTTTAAAGGTTTTAATTTTATTTATTTATTTGTGTGTGTGGCCAGCTCAGCCCACCAGGGGGCGGGCTGGCTGGCATGTGGTGCTGGGGGATTGAACCGCGGTCCCTGATGCTTTGCTAAGCTTGTTCTAAGTAGGTGCTTTAGACCACTGACCCATCTCACCAGCCCTGGGCCATCTCTTCAGCCCGTGGTACTTATATAGGTGGGAAAAACAGCAAGATTAAACTCAAGCGATTAAATTCAGGTTTCATACTGAATTAAAAATGCAAAGAAGAAAAAATAATTTTGTATTTCATGGCTATAATTTTTTGACATATCTATTTGGTTTGAATTTTAGAGAAAAACTAATTTTTCCTTTTGTTCACTTTTATAGAGTTTGAAAATCTTGCGAAACATGAAGAAGAGTAAGTTTCTTTGTACTTATTTTTAAATATATGTATATATATAGTTTGCATAATTTTTTCTTTTTATAGTCAGCTAGCCTGTGAAAATATTAACAATTATCATTCCTAAATAAAGCCTCCATAGGGTCTTATGGATCGGAACACTTACTCTTAGGCCTTGTACTTTGCCGGACTCCACAGCAGTAGGATTGGCCTGGGAGTACAGAGAAGGAAGTTTCTCTGTTTACAGACAAAATAATTAGTACATTTGATATTTTCTACCTGTCTTAAGATGCTATCATACAAGTATGCTGTCTAAATTTCCCAGCAGTCTAACCTCAAAAGTATTTTCTTTCAAAATAGTTATAGCAAAGCATATTGTGAAACAAATGTGTTTTAATCAGAAGAGCAAAGCACTGACACATTTTCATTTTCAAGCATTATTAGCAGTACAAGTCTGTTGCTTACTATTTTTGCTATAGTTATGAAAATACAGCTCACAGACTCTCTTGAAACTTTGGGGAATTTGCTTAGAAATCCTTATTTACAAATGCAAAGTGTATAAAACATATGCTTCTTACAAATTTGACCATTTGGTTAGTTGTGAAGAACAGTTGATATTGTACTGGTGCTAAGGGAGTGGGACAAAAGATCACTCAGAAAACAGCCTAAATAAGAAGGTCGACAGCAGTGCTGCTTCATTCCTGTGGGCTTGTATTGTTTTGCCTATCCATAAACTCCACATTGTTGACAGTTTGTTACCACTGTCATCAGACTTGTCCTTTAAGATGGCCTGAGTTTTCATTCATGATGGCTAAACTATGGCTGGAAACTGTAATCTTTTATTTAAAAACAGTATAGTGAAAATTTAAACAATTCTAAGAGAAATTATGGTAGGAAACATGTCAAATTAAATAGGCTTTCTTTATTTATCTTTGGTTTTGGTGCTGAGGACTGAGCCCAGGGCCTCCAGCGTATTAGGTGAGCATTCTATTGTTGAGACAAATCCCCAGCCCCTTAAATAGCCTTTAAAAGCAAAGAAATGAGTGACTTGAATGAGTCAAAGATTGATTTGATCAGTTTGGCATATAAAACACTCCATTTTCTCTAGCTGATATCCCAGCATTGTCTCAGAATACCAAACAAGAAACATAAACTTCAAGTAGATGTATATTAGCTCAGCTTCTGAATATGATGGGGCTCTGAACCAGAGTTTCATTTCTAACTAAAAGCTAGGTCATTCTCTGGATCTAGGCTGCATCGCATTTTCACTGTTCAGCTATCCTGGTTCTATGATCTTTTGTGCTTAAGGAAAGAACAATAGTTCCAAATTGAGCCTGAAGATTTATATTTATCCACCATATATGTCCGATGCCACTTGCTGATGGTTCATGAATCCAGATTCTGTTATGTTCTCCTTGTAGTCTGGATCTCTTAGTGGTCTACAGTTAAAGCTTTGAATGAAATTATCATTTTCATTTGTTATTTTAAGGTAGCATCCAAGCATAGTATGCATTTGTTTAGTCAACAAGTATCTGTAACTATTATGTACCCAGCACTACACAAAGTGCTCAGTGTATCATGATAGGCAGAATAGATATCATATCAAAGGCTTTTGTGGAATTTAAGTCTAGTGAGGAATCCAGACATTTAAAAAGTAAATTTAGGCTGGCCATGGTGGTGTATGCCAGTAAAGCACTTGGGAGGATGGCCACAAGTTTGAGGCCAGTGTGGGTTACATACACAAGCAAAACACAAAAGTAAATTTAGACATTAAAGAAGTAAATACACACATAATTCCACACTCTGATAAATTCTGTGAAGGAAAACCAAAAAGCAATTATGAGAGAGGGTAACAAAGGTAGTTTTCTTTAGGATGGGTGGCACAGGAGGCCCCCTCTGAGGAACTGAGACAGAAAGGAGCAGCCAGCTAGGCAAAGAATGGGGAGAAGATCATCGCAGGTAGAGGAAACAGTGCATACAAAAATCTTTGAGGTATGAAAGTTGTATATGTTGTGATAATCAAAGTAAGTCATAGCTGCACAGTATTAAGTTATGAAGAGGTATAAGAGCTAAGGCTGGGAAGATGGGCAAGAAATAGGTTTTTATGGGCCTTGAGTAAAGTCTAAGTGGAATATGAAGCCCTAAAAGAATTTTAAAGAGAGATGTTACATGATTTGTTTTATAAAAAGATCATTTTAGCTGCTGTATGGAGAGTAGAGTACAGGTGACAAAAGTAGAAGCTGTAAACTGGCATATTTGATGCTGGCTTTATGTGGGGAACATTACTCAGAAGTCTTTCAGTTGCAAGTGACAGAAAACCCACGTAAGCTGAATGAAGTACGAAAAGGAGTGTATTGGCTTGTAACTTAGACTTCAAAATGATATAATCAGGACTTAATCTTTCATTCCATACCTCTTACCTTTGTCTTATGCTGTACTAGCTTACCTGTAGGCAAGCTCTTCCTGCGTGGCTTCAGGCTTACAATGCAAAGCAAAGCTCTTTCTTGGTTGCCTGAACAACAACCTTGAGGACTAGTGCTAACTGGTGATTGTCTTGGCTTGACTCATCTGACCATCCTGAACCAAGTCTTAGCGATGTATTCAATGCTCTGATTAGATAGAATAGTGTCATACCCAACATTAACAACTGTTACCATGTGGAAGTGGACTTATTAGGAGGAAGAGGAGACACATATACCTGGCATGACCATACCAATGGACCAGCATTGAAACAAGGAAAATAATCCATAATTATTGGTCATTTCATTGATCTAACAGTAAAATCAGTTCCACCAGAAGTGTGGAAATTGAAACTTGGGGAGAGACAGAAAGGAAAATTCAAGTTCTATCATCAGGAGAAGATGGAATATATGTTGGGGAGAATGTCTAACACAGGGCTTGGCCAAACCATGTGGATTACTGTACTCTAGTGTTTCTTTACCTGCAGTGCTGTCACCCTAGACAAAATCTTGCTATGTTGCTCCAACTGGCCTCAAATTCCTGGGCTCAAGGAATTCTCCTGCATCAGTCTCCTATAGAGCTAGAAGTATAAATCAACATGGAGAGAATGAGGACCTTAAAAAAAAAAAGTCTTCTGAAATTCCATCACAGTGGTTCAAGAGAAAACTGCACACATAGTTCAGTCACTCTAAGGCACTCACCAGCAGTGCTACTAGGTCACTTAGCATCCAGAAAAAGTGGAAACTCACATGGAGACATACCCATAAGCTTAGTCATTTGCCAGAAAAGAACCCCTCCTTGCATGACTGCCTAATCCAGCAGAACTCTCAAAATTTTTGGGGTGAAGGATGGTGGAAGGTGAAGAAATAAAGATAGAAAATAGAAAGCTGAGGTCAGGTGGAGCCCTGTCTCCTGGGGGAGAGGGGACAAAGGGACAGTTCTCAAGGACTGCAGTTCATTTATTTATGCACCGGGCAGGTTGATGTCATGAGACACCCCTCTGCCTAGCAACCTGTTTGCTTGGATTGCTTCAGGTTCTCCTCTTCCCAGAGAGGGAACAACTTAGTCACACGGCTTGCCTCAGGAACCCTTTGTTCCTGGACTGGCCTTGCCTAGCCCCACAAGTGTGACCAATCTTCAGCTTCAGCTCCTCCCCACAAGTGACAGCAGAAGAGGTACCTTTCCCAGATGAGCTGATAAGAGCACTGGACCAGTCTCCAGAACTGACTGGAGATGGTGTACACAGCAGATTCTGCAGACTGGCACCTCAGCCCTCCTCACTCCCATAATGGGTGTAGGGGGCACAGGAGTAGATACAACTGTGTATGAGTGTTATTGTTCTAGTTTCAATGGTGACTTCTATCGACCTGCCAGGTGCTCCCTTATCAAGGGCTGCTTCCTGAAACTTCCAGTGTTGCATTATGGGTATCCTATTTTTTTGTTTTTTTGGAACCGGGGATTGAACTCAGGCCCTTGCACTTACCAGGGAAGCCCTTATTCCACTGAGCCATCTCCCCAGCCCCATGGGTATCCTATTAATTGGGCTCCACACCAGTCTCCATAAAGGCCTTCACATTTTCCACTTTTCTTTCTTTTTTTCTCTCTTCTTTCTGGTATCATACAAAGCCTCCTAAACCTCTCCTTTTTCCTTTCTTGTGGGGATAAAAGCATCATCATCAGAACCTATTTTTTTCCTTTCCTTTTTTTTTTTCTTAATTCCCAGTCTATTTGGCATCATTACTACTCCCTGATCTTCCTGGGTTATTGAAACTTTTAAAACAAGCTTTGTGTTGTGTGTTGATATATGATTGGCTCTTTGAATGTTAATATTGCCAGGAATGTTCTCTGCTCGTACTGCAGTGGTAGAGACTGCCTCTGAACTGGGTGAATTGCCTATGCTTAGAATAGCATGGAGAAATCCACTTGCCAAAGACACCTCTAGTGTGGACGTAGAGCTTTCTGTCCCAACTGACCTACAACCCTCAACAACAATAATGAAAAAACCCCACATAACCACAAGAAAATAAGGCAATAAAACGTCTCAAAGATTAATAATTTTCCCCAAATGGATCTTACCTCATAATACAGTGCTAGAGACTGATCCTAGTACACTAAAGGGGATGAACTTCCAGACAAAGAACTAACCGCCCCCCCCAAATAGTTACAATGATTAAAGAGGTCAAAGAAAATACAATGAATGAATTAAAGAAGACAATGCAGGATATAAAAGACCGTGTCAATAAAGAATTAGAGGTAAGAAAAAAAAAATCAAGCAGATATCCTGGAAGTGTAAAATTTAATCAAAAGTTTTGGTAGTAGGCAAGATCAATCAGAAGAATATTAGGACTTGATAACAAAATTTATATAGGACATTTACTCTGTAATAATGAAGAGACAACCAAAAGATAATCTATGAGGTCCTAGAATCTAGATGAATCTAAAAGAAATTTAAGGATCACTGATTGCATTTAAGGAAGGAGTTCTGGCAGAGACTAATGCTATAAAAAGTTTATTCACCAAAGTTATGGCAGGAAATATCCTAAATCCAAGAAATGAGA